TAAAATACCTTGTTTGCAGCAGAAAATTCCCAATAAAAAACCTAAGTTTTTTCTGTTACTCTTGAATGACCCCATGACAAGTTGCACACAGATGCCCAGATACGAAACATATTTACCAAGTTTATGAAAATGTAAATTATGGAATGTACCCTCTGCTTTAACTATTACAGTCCAATTTAAAATACAAAGCAAATATAAGACTCTCATCTGTATTTTTCCCTCCGAATACAAACATGAGATATACCCATTTAAATGCTAATATACATTATCACTTTAAATATAAATGCACAGTATTAAGCAATCAAACTTAAAGGAAGAAAATCTGAAACAGCATTGAGCATTGGAGTTTTCTAGTAGTATTTTTTGTATTAAAGGTCTCATTTGTAAAGATACAATGCTTTCATATCTCATGAATATTTAATATCTTCTGGAAAGGATTTATTTTAGGATGCCAACAATGCAATTTTGAGTTAGAATGTTCCATTGGAAAGACGTATATTGGACTGAATGCAAGCACAAAGACTTACTGGCATGCAGCAAGTTCCAACTGGAAAACTTTAACTATTTGTATTAAGACTCATATTCTTATAAAAACATCATGTCTGCCAAATGAACTACCTGGCTTCAGAAAGAAAATATATATTAATCAGGAAAAAAAAAAATCTTGATTTAAAGAATGAATTATAATCTTGCTTGGCACAACAGTTCTCAAATAATTGCTCTAAAATAAAAGAATGTTAATGTGATCACAGTTGAGGAGAGGAAGAGTAAAATTATGCCAAACAGTGAGATGCATTATGTCTCTGAAAAGTAAAATATGTAGGGTGCAATATTTACTCAGAGAAGAAATGTTTTCATTTTTACTACAGAAAAATAATCTTCTAGATAATACTTCTCTAATACACTGCATCCGCATTCAGTGGACATTTAGAAAGGAATTTTTATTCAAAATGTTAAGTATCAAGTCAATAACTATTCTATTAAACTTTTCTTGTACTGTTGAGCACTTGGCCTACAATAATGAATTAGACCACCTGCAATGCCTTCAACTAGACAACCACAGATTTATCATTTACTTCCTTTGGTTAGGAAGCACACAGACAAAAAGGAAGACATGATATAAGCAAACAATATATCCTGTCAGCCACCTAAAGGAACCAATAAAGAATTTTAATATATATGCATTAAAACAAGTTCTCTTAGTATAGTGTTCATTTTGTGCAATCTGCTAAAGCAATGAAAAAAAACCCTCTCTGATGATGGAGAACAGCTAGTTCTGTCAATACCCACCTTCACAACTTAACTCTGATCTCTGTCCTTAACTCTCAACTTCTACAAATCCCAGGGGCTGACTTCAAAAATAAACCAAGTAATAAAAAAAAAACCCACCAAACTTAATCCCTCCAACACCTTTAAAAAGGGACATATATTACAGCTAAAGTGAAAGGCGTTGTTTTAATGAAATTATTTCAGTCTAGTCATTTATCCAGTACCTTACTGACATTTCTAAGTTCAAACAGAAGTGTTACACGTATTTTAAAATTTCATCTGAAAAAAAGCTCATCTAACTATTTTTAAATCGTTTTTTTTTCTTTTTTTTTCCTTTTTTTAATCCACATCAAAGTCTGGCACAACTATAAACAGACAGAATGCTGCACATTCTCCTCATGTTCAAGGCATGCAATTTCACACCTTAAAGTCACCTTTTCTATACACAAAAGATACATATTGCATTAATTTTATGATTTGGAGGAATGAATTATGGCCTGTAGAACTTCCTTATTACTTTGGAATAAAAAGAGGAAGAGAAACGTTTGTTATTTTAAACTGACACCAGAAACAGATAAGGTAAATTCAATTTTGGGACTGAATACTGAAAATTCAATTCTGATAATCTGGAACAGTGAGGATGGAAGAGCAAACAAAAACTCGTCTTATTACTGTCAACTAAAATTACTGAGCTGTTGTTTCCAAAGTACCATTTATTCCATATATGTCTATCACATCTGCAAAATAGGTCTGACAAAGATCAGAAGTCCAGAAGTGGCCTGTTTTGCATCCAACCTCTCAATGATCTTCTCTAGCCCACTGCCTCCATCCAAATCTCCCTTAGCAACCTTTACAGTACACAAAGCCACTAACCAACATTCTCAACAAAATCCACTGTAAGCAGAAGAACTTTACAAATTCCTAGTTAACATTCAGATTAGCTCTACTTCAGCAATCTCCTATTTGATAGCTTTTCCATGCCCAGCACTGAAAAACAAAATACAAAAACCTGTCATCTACAGAGCAATTTATTTGCTTCTCTGAATACCTACTCCTCTCAAAGAACAAATATTTTTTCTTCAGAATTCAGCATTTTATAGCCATCATTTACAACTTTTTCACTGCCCTGCGTTAAGGCAGTAGTCACTGGGCACTAAGAACTTTGCCATTAAAAAAAACCAAAACATAAATTTGGCTCTCAGAAGCAAACATTGCACAGGCCAACCTGTATGAATCCATTCTGTGAAACACATCTGTGGTTTATAAAGGATCCACATGCAGAAATAAAGACAACTAGCCATGTGCTAATACCTGATAGCCATTTTAAATGGCTAGTTATTTAAATGCCTCCTGAGTATCCAGGTGTAAATATCCCTTGCCTAATGAAGGCAATTTTTCAGAATTAAAGCATAATTATAATCAGTACTGCTATTGAATTATTTTTAAAGCAATTAAGAACAATTTCAGGAGAGCAGGTGGCCTGAACATCCTATGCTTACCCTGGTTTTCATTAAATCACAGTATTTTCAACAAAGTGAGCTATTTTATATGAAGAAATTCTTTCACAAAATATCTTTTCTTCTTCTTCTTCAAATATTCCTGTTGCAGCAGGAATACTAATTTGACAAAGTAACTGAAATAAAAGGTGCAATTTTAGCTACAGTGTTGCTACTTCAGAAAAACACAAAACTGTGTGATTTGCCTCTCACTGTGCAGCATCACAACTATTCATAAAGTTTATTAAAATGCAGAAAAGAAATTGAAAAGATGAATTCAGATTCCTATGGAATGGAGCATAGAAAGTAAGTATTTGTTAGGACAACCACAAACAGTGAGTTGGGACATACTCACTTCATAATAAAAAGTATTAATTTATCAGCTTAATTTTTGCAGGGGGTGACGGAACTCTGGGTTAAATTTAGTTTACCTCACAAATCTTTTTTTTCATCTGCAGTATAAACACCTACTACAAACACCATAAGGTGGCATAACAATCTAAATGTAATCAGAATTGTGTTTAATCAAATGTTTTGTCCTGTGGTAAAACATCAAATTTTCTTTTACAAAATTTTCTAATTTTTCTAACATTCATTGAAGTAAGAGGTACTCTACCTATAAAAAAAGAATAACTAGGGAGTCATGGGCAGGTAATTACAGGCTATATGCACGTCAGGCATACTTTAAAAACAAGTAAACAAATTGTTGTTTTGTCCAAACTAATACATTCAGTGCAGGAAAGAAACACTTCAGATCACAGTTATACAAATTTTGTAATAGATAAATAACCATGCCAGAATTTTCATTATAATGCTATTACTTGAGATCAACAGAAAATGAAAACCAGATTTTGAAAAGGTTCCAATGTCATTATTTTGTCTTCAATACACAAATTTCAAAAGAAAAAAACACAAAACCCATAGAAGTATCATAGTGGCTTTGGCATATGTGGCTAACAAATATTTGAGGCGTTATTTCATGAAAATACTAAATGGTAATTCCTTTCCCTACTGTTGTGGGGATAATAAAGCAGCACTTAAGTGAAATGTAAGACAACAGCAAAGATTAAAAAACACTCTATCTCACTAGTATTTGGAGAATTTTGTGACAAGTACATTAAAGCATCCTTATCCCATACAGGTGCTTGCATAAGTAGAGTTCCTGGTGTTGTTTGCAGCATTTACAACATTACTGCATAGAATAAAGAGCTGCTGCTCTGAAAGCCAGGCCTAAGGGTTAGCGAAACTTACAGACATCTCAAGTTTTGTATCTGCAGCTAGGACGTTTAGCTAGTGGGGAAAAATAAGAACACTTGGATAGCATGAAGAAATTATAGGCTAATGTGGATAGATTCTAATAGTCTAATTGACTCTCTGTTTTATAAACCTGTTCTTTTAGCTGTTTATCAGTGTCTTGGTTACTGCCAGCCTGCCTGTTCCGCTACATCGGCGTCGTTATACACATAAAGGTGTTATGTTAGCACTTGATACTGCACACATTATCCACGGCTGCTCAGGAATTCAGTGGAAGTCAGATTTAACCAGGTTGCTGAAGGACTGCTGAAAGTGCCGGTAACCCCGAGCCGCTCCAGTAACCCCCAACGCCCTATGGAAACGCGAGCAGAGCCCCCCGCGCCCTCAGGCGCTACACCCACGTCACTTCGCAGCTCGAAAAGGCGCGACCCGGCGGGGCCGCCTTTCCCTCCGGCCCAGCACACCTCACGGCGCTGCAAGGCAGCGCTCGCCCCGCGCCCCCGCCCCACACACCACTCCCTCGGCGCCTCTGTCTCCCAGCGACCACGGGCGAGGGCTGCCGCCCTAAGCACAGCCAGGTAGGAGAAAGGAAGGAGAGAGGAGAAGAGGGAAAGGGAGGAGGGCCGGGACCTGGACAAGGAGGTTCCTCCCCGAGCGCCGCCGCTCCTGCCGCGCGCCCCTCCCCTGAGCGCGGCAGCACCGCCCTCTCTGCTCCGTGGCGTCACTCCTCGCAGACAGAGCCAGAAGGACCCCGGCATAAGAGTGTCTTCTGGGGTGCCTGACCTTTCTCCTTTTCGGGCCTTTTAAAAAAGAAGAGTTTAATAGTTCCCCTAACGCCACTTGTGTGTGTGCTCTATCGGTACTCTGACAACGACATGTTGAGCATCTTGGCCGTAAAAGCAATGCTTGCTGCTGGTACTGAAGCTTTCCTAGGCGCTTTCTTTATAAGCTTCAGGCGCTCACGCTGGCAGTCTAGGGAAAGGGGGTCCTTTTTTATCCTCAGCGGGCGGAGGTGTGTGGCGGCGGCTCGGTTCATGTGAGTGCGTCCCGGTGGGGCCCGACACGGCGGGGCGGTGGCTGTGCCCCCTCAGCCTGCTCCTAGAGCGCCTGTGGGTGACTTGGTTCTGATGCCCCTCGCTGCTGGGGGCTTGTGTCGTGGTGGTCTGCCCTGGGGCCCTCCCTCGGGTCGGGCCGAGCTCTCTGAGGAGCCGGACAGGGCTCTGTTTGCTTCGGAGACAACTGAGGGCGGGATGTCCCTGCGGGCTGTGTGCTGCGGCGGTGGTTGAGGGAGGCTGCTGCTATCCCTCTGAGGGCAATTCTGCAGCGGGGAAGTGGGCTGAGGGGTTTTAAAATAGAGGAAACCGTGTTTGTTGTTGTTTAATTTGTATATGGGATTTAATCACGGGGCGTAGTGTGCATTGTAGCTGTAGGGTGGCACTACAGATACAGATACCACATTTTGCGGGGAAGAAGCATACACTTGAAGTGGTTCTTCTGAAATTAGTTGAGTTCCTTTATTTAGCCCATCGACTGGAAGCGGCATAGTGTGGTGGGCGTTGAAGAAAATGCTGTAATAGCCTGGGAAGTATGTGTGTACGGACTTGAGCTTTGCATAGGGCAGGCTGTTACTTACTGAAAAACAGCTGCTTTTTCTGTTTTGGTAAATGGTATATGTGTTTGTTATGCTTTTGCATAGACTTCAGTGAGTGAAAACCAGTTTTAGCTAAGTATTTGCTCATTTCTCAGTAGAGATACTTGCAAGATTTAATATGCAGGACATTCTGTACAGGGATGCATGGATTGGATAATCCTTGTTAGATTATGTTACAAGTCCAGAGCTAAGCAGCATATGGCAATGTAACTGAAGTACTATATATCTTAATAAGCGGTTTTGTGTTGGGTTTAGCAGCTAGCAAAATGAAGAAAATACTGCTACAAAATATCCATGCATTTCCTGATCTTTCTGTTTCTTTAACTCAGATTTTTATTTTATTATTTTTTTAATACAGTTATTACTTTTCACGGGTAGTTTTGCAATTCGGGATGCTTACGTGAAATTTGTAGTAAGGTGAGGCAATGGTCATTAAATATAGCATCCCATTTTAGTATGTCGTTATTGTTCTCTTACGACATTATTCTCAAGTTATGTTTAAATAATAATATGTTATTTGGCAGACCTCTGCAAAAGTAAACCTAACATCTGTAAAAATAAAACTGAAGTCCTGAAACAGAATTTTTAATACTGAATATTATTGAAAGAGATAAGACTTTAGAAATAATTAAAAGGTAGAACATTGACATTTTATCAAATAGTCAGTAGAGTGGGGGTTTTCATCCTTCTGATTTTGGAGATGTTCTCTGAAATTTCTCCTAAATGTATTTTACTGAAGTCTGTTTAATACAGTACTGTTATTTCAATTACATGTGTTATCCAAGAAGACTAGCAATGAAGTTAACTTCCCGGAGGAAGCAAGCAACCCTCCGGGACCTTGCATGCTTTGCAAAATCCTTTAATTCATGGCTTTTCTTTAAAGTTATTCCTGCAAATCACTCAAGGGATTCTAGTTACTACAGTCCTTGACTTTCTACTGACCTGGAAGTTTCACAATACTGTGCTTTCATGAAAAGGGAACTATAAAATGTCATGTGAGTAATGCTCCGTCAGGCAGAGCTTATTGGTGGCATTCCTCCCTGCTCTTGTTCTTCCTAAAGTTGCCTGCTTAATACCCTTGATAAAATCATGTTTTTGAAGAACAGTCATAATTTAGAGAATGTTGAAATATATATATTTACTGTAATGTTTATCACTGAAATTTCACGTAATGTGCTTGACACACTGAATTCCTAATTCAGATGAAACATCACAATAATTTGATCAGTGTTTCCAAATTCTCTCAACCTTTTGTTGTTTTTCTTCCATAAGCTCCATAATGTGTTGTGTGGTGGTGTTTCTTAAATTAGGACTAAAGTAGAAAGTAAAAAACTTTGCTTTTATTTTAATCTGTAATATATTGAGATACAGTGCACTCAGTTGGCGTGAAGCTTTAAAAACAGTTTCTGGAAATACTGTAAAAATACCTCAAAGTACTTCTATACACAGCACACTTAATACTATAGAACTCTGCTAGGTTGTATTATAAGATAGTAAGTCATAACATAAGGTAATAATCAGCTGTAGTGATTTGTGGGCTTGCTTTCTGAGTCAACAGACCACTTCTGAAATTGTTGCTTTGTGTAAATTTACTAACTACCAGTAGAATAAAATTAGAAAAGTGCTGGTCTCTCAGCTTCCCTCCCACCAACATGAAAGTAGAATAAATAATTTTATGTCTGTCATGTTCATTTCTGAAAAAGCCTGAAGCAGCAGCAGCAGAGGTAGCTTGTACATTCTGGAGGACAAGAACCCAAATAATGGCATCAGAATGAAGAGTGGATCTTGAATTGCAAGAAAAAAAATGTATTGAGATGCAAAATAGGAGATAAGTGTTATTCATGACCTCTCTAGACCAAGAATGAAAAGAAAAAATTGAGCTCTCAGGTGTGTATAAATCCCACCTACTTTACAAGTCCTCAGAAGCATTCTGGGAAGATGTCTCTATAATAAAAATAATGGAAAGCAGTTGTCAGCAGAAGATTATCAAGTGTGCAGGAAGACAAATCTGCTATCTACCATAACACTTTTGAACTTTTCTGATTATGTTTGGTTGCTGTGTGTTGAAGCTCCCATGTGAATGAATTCACATTTGTCTCTTCAAAGGAAATGTTTCCTAAAACTTAAAGAATGTCAAGTGCTAGACAACACAAGTAAACTGAAGGGTCCGCATAGAGGGTGGCTGCTAGGAATATCAGATGTGAGTAAAATAAATAGCATCTCTTGTTTCTTGTATAGTGATACTAATTATATGATGTCAGTCCAGCAGAGACCCCTGGAAACCCCTGTTTATTTTCCTACTAAACAGTTACCTGTATGGTTCTTATTATCATCACCCAGAAATATTTCCCATGTTAGATATCCTGGCATCCTGGTGGTGAGGAAGAAATTGATATTTAGTTTTCATTTCCATGGTTACATTAGTGTTAAACAGTAGGGGGGAAGTATTTCCATGGTTATGTTAGTATTAAACAGTGTTGGAGGGAAGTCTCATATGGCTCTTATCCCCTAGTGTGGTGGAAGCCATCCTTACTCATAATTTAATAGGGTTTCAAAAAGATTTGGATACTTCTCAAAGCATTTTTCTGCTTTCATTGTTTGGGTTTTGTTTTGGTTTGGGTTTTTTTGTTGGGTTTGTTTGTTTTGTTGTTTTGGCTTGTGGGTTTTTTGATGCTTGGGAAAAAGTGCTTTCCTTTAAAAAAAAAATAAGCAAAAACTGAAAAATGGCTGGCTAGGCTTTGTGACTGCAAATCAGTAAGTCATCAGTTAAAATTTTCACAAATTTCTCTTGGAGAACAAGAAAATATAGTACTGTCTGCATTATGACATTAGAGGACAATTTCTTCAGTATGAGTGTAAACCTAATGCATTGGTATTTTACTTCACAGGTGATTTCTTTATCCTGCTTTCACAGTTAGCAAATCTTTGATGTGTGTTTTGCTCTACCAAATAATCACACTTGAATATGTGGAAATGTCACATTTAAAGGGATAGGTTTTACTATGTGTTTTTTAAAGTTCAGTAAAGTGCAGGGGTGTGAAAGGAGGAAGTTTGTAATGCTGGGTGACCTTAGTGGAAGAGGAGCAAAAGATCTCAAATTCACTCTAATCTATTATACCTTAATCACTTCTGACAGGTGTTTGCATAACCTCTTCTTAAAATCTTCCAGTGATTGATATTCCACAACCTCCATAGGTAGCCTGGTCAGTCAATTACTTTTAATTGAAAGGTTTTCAAATGTCTAACTTAAATCTTCCTTGTTTTTTCCTGTCTGCAGTAAACCTGGTGAACAGTCTAGTCCCATTCCCATACCAACTTCCTTTGCATTTGAAGAACGAGGCCAAGCCTTCCATCTATCTTCTCTTCTGTAGACTAAACAACTGCATTTCTTTCAAGCTTTTTGATCTTCTTTGAAGTGTCTTTAAAAAGCTGAGAGACGGGAAAGGAGAACCTGGACAAAAGCAAATCTCTGTAGCAGTTGCGGGGAGGGGTCTTGAGTATGCATGAGTGCAATGTGAACATTGCTTGGGAAACCTTCTGAGCAGCTGAGGCAGTTTGCCTGTAATAAAATGTGGCTAGTCAGGCCTTTCCTGACTTGCCTCTCCTATATTTCCTCCTGTATCCCTCGTACTTCTTGTCTATAGAAAAGACAAGTTTGAGCTGATTTCCCCACTCCTTTTTTTTTTTTCTTTTAAACCGGAGGGGAGAGGCATGGCAAGGTAAATTTTCAGGTGAAAAGTTGTTCTTCTCTATACTGTTTGTGTTGTGTTAATTATTTAGTTGCCTTTACATTTTTGAGCCATAAAGCCTTCTAATGGTGAAGTCTGTAACAAGTATGACGCGTTCTGCAAGCAGGTATATTTCACTGCCTAAAACTGTAGTCTCTGTAGCTCTGGTCTATTGAATAGATCTGATAGACAGAACAAGGGAAAGCACTTACTGAATTTAAGAAATATAAGCTAGTTTGCTTGGTTAGTGTGGTGGCTTCAAATATTTTGAGATGATCACTATATTCATTTGACTGTTTCTAAATTGTTCAAGTTTATAGTTAAATAAGGAAAGTTTGTTGTTTGAACATGCTCTGTGCTACTGACAAATGCTTATAAATTTAGCATGGTTAGAAATTTGTAAGTAATTATAACTGTGGTTTAGGCATGGCAGTCGCTGGCATCCCTGATTATAAAATTCAGTGTGCCAGATCCCTGTTCAGCTTTCTAGGAGACATACAAGTCATGACCTGCTCCCAGGTGATATTTTGTATCAGGTGACTGGCCAACACAAAAAGAAATCAGTTTGATTTGTAGGATTTTTTTCTGAATGTCAGTTTTGAGTTTTTATTTTTCCCTCTAAATAAGCTATCTCAAAAATGTCATGCCTTTCAGGAC